ACAGTCCTTCACGACCTTCTCCAACGTGAGTCTCCTCCATGGGGTGCAGTCCTTCAGGAGCAAACTGCTCCAGCGTGGGTCCCCCACGGGGTCACAAGTCCTGTCAGCAAACCTGCTCTGGCGTGGGCTCCTCTCTCCACGGATCCACAGGTCCTGCCAGGAGCTTGCTCCAGCGCGGGCTTCCCACAGGGTCACAGCCTCCTTCAGGTGCCTCCACCTGCTCCGGCATGGGGTCCTCCATGGGCTACAGGTGGAATCTCTACACCCCCTCATCCTTCCTCCATGGGCTGCAGGGGGACAACCTGCCTCACCATGGTCTTCACCACAGGCTGCAGGGGAATCTTGCTCCGGCGCCTGGAGCACCTCCTGTCCCTCCTTCTGCACTGACCTTGGTGTCTGCAGATGTTCTTACATCTTCTCACTCCTTCTCTGGCTGTAAAAGCTCCCCATAACTTGTTTTTATCCCTTCTTAAATATGTTATCACAGAGGTGCTGATTGGCTTAGCCTTGGCCGGCAGCAGGTCTGTCTTGGAGGCAGCTGGCATTGGCTCTATCAGACACAGGGGAAGCTTCTAGCAGCTTCTCACAGAAGCCACTCCTGTAGCCCTCTCCCCCCTCTACCAAAACCTTGCCATACAAACCCAATACACTGTCTTTAGATACAATTAGCTTAGCTAATTCTCCTCTTGTACAATTTACCCAGTGAAGCTGATGAGCAGGTAAAGGCTGCTGTGATGATATTTGAGGAGGTGAGTGTGAAAACAAGTGAGCACAAAAAGAATCTTTGATCTCCCCACATAAAACAAGGGAAAATAAATACTATAGATTCATTCTTGCTTTGATTTAAAAACATATGTGAGTTTGCACCAGTTATGTGAAGATGCTCTTAAATCAGGCTTTATTGATTTAACCAGTTTGTCTTTTGAGGATTTGCACTGACAATTAAATTTATGTAGCCTAACTGAAGTAGGTTTTAATGCAAACAAGAACTAGACATAAGCAATTCTGCATGCTAATATTGTCACTCACTTCTAAGGCTAAAATGGGAAAGGTAGGGCACGCTGCCCTAGCGATTGTAAAATGCCATTAGGAGTTGGTCAGATGTGGAGTCAGACATGGCATGTGGGCATTGCACTGTGTGGGATACCTGTATTTCAGCTTTTGCCTTCTGGTCTAAGAAAAGCAAAGCAGAAAAGATGTGATGATAGCAGGTATCGTGTGGGTGAGCCCCGAGAGCTTGATGCAAGTAGAGAGGTGCAGTTCAGTCGGTTGCTCCTCTTCCTGGCAAAGTGCAACTGTGCTTGGCTTATAGCATTGATAGTAAAGCTGCTGGGCAAATGTTTCTCTCCAGTGTCTTTGTATTCCCCTTTTTCTGACTGTTCATATCAATAGACTCACTGGAAAACATGTTGTTCTTAACCCAAAACCCTACAAGCCATTCGAAGGTACCTATACCTGTCATTCATGACTGGTATGAGTTCATGCAGCTGTTATGCAGAATTTCTCATATTTTTAGGATTAAATTGTGTGTTTATCTGAATTAAGGAACTGCTTGCTCACTCCTTTCTCAGCATCCCCTTCCCAGCTAATTCTGCCCTCCTATTCTATTTTTTGGGTAACTTATTTTCTATCCCATATCTTCGTTACTCAAACAATAGTTGCTTTTGCTTCATGTTTTGATTGTAATTCTTTCGAACTGTATATTAGGACAAATCTATTCCTTGCAGTGAGATATAACAAACACAGCATGCAGACCAACGTGGCTATGGCAGGAAGGTAACATGGTGCACTCTGCTTGTTCTTCTCTTTATCTGTCCTGATTAAGGATGAGGTTGTGACACCAAGTGGTTCTCAACAGACCCCAGAGTCTGACACTCAAGTGCCGACCACAGCAGAAACCATCGATCCCTTGTTTTACCCTAGCTGGTATAAGGCTCAGTCGCGGCAATCAAGCAGTCCGATCTCAACCCCAGTGAGTGGGTTGGGGAAAGTAGGGCCTCCTGTTTCTCTGGAAACAAGTGCAAAGAAGGCAGAAGCTCCGGCAGCGGCAACGATTGAGGAGAGTGCACCAGGGAGTGGTAAGGAAAGTAATGCCACTGCAGCGACATCCAAGGTCAGTGCTACCGAAGTCACCCCAGAGGGCTGTGACGCACAGCAAGGCGGGAACGGCAATTGTTAAGGAAAATGTGACTTAATTTTCCTCTGCATGCTAAAGAATAAGAATAATTTCAGAAATATGGAAACAGCATAAATTATCTTTTCAGCAAATCCACTGGATTTACAGGTGGTTTCAATACATGACAGGCTGACTTTTCAGCTTCAGAGTAGCATGCTGATGGTTGCTTGTGCTTAACTGCCAGCACACCTCACTTGTGCGAGCTGTTATCCGAGTTGCTCACGCAGACGCTCAGGAGCTGTTGGAGATGCTGGCGATGTGTCTGCGCAATCAGATATTTGCATGCGTTAGTAGCAGACAAACCCTGTGCATGAGGTTATTCTCATCACTTATTGAAAGCCTGCGTACGTCACATGCTGTCCTACTACCGCTGGTAAAGCAGCTATGGCTTGGCTCTGCCTTCTGCAGCGCTATGGCTGCACCTGGAGTGTATGGCTTCCCCATGTGAACACAGAGGTATGGAAATACCCAGAGCCTTCTTGTGTGTTTAATTGCCTCTCAGTAAGCAGTGTGATTTCCTGGGTTTGGATCTGTTGCAGAGGGTTTCCTCCAAGGATTTTTGGGGGACTTGATTAAAGGAGAGCATGAAGATAATATATTCCAATTATGTTTTAGACTACCAGCAGCATAATGAGGTAACAAAGACTGATGTGTTGGGTATGAGAGGGTGTTTTCCTTAAAATAACAATGTTAGACTTGGTATAACCTGAATTTTAATATTCCTTCTTCTGCATATGTGTACAAACTCCACATGGGTCAAAGATCCAAGGAGCAGAGCTGAGGGAGCTGTGTGTGAAGGATTTGTACACTACACCAGCTCCTGCTCTAGTGCCTGGCTACCAGCCCATGAGCAGCACTCTCTAAATCAAACCATCCTGATTTACAGGCTTAAGCTGTATGCTTTAACAAAGCCACTACCTGAATGTGTGAGATAGAAGACATTATGTGTGTGTGTGTGTGAAAAAGCACAAGTGGGTAGTAAGTATTTCATGCTGTTTCCTTTAAAGTTGGAGTTGACCATTTAGCATACATAAGCAGTCCTACCATGATAAACCATTACGTGGTGGGCAAAAAGTTAGGAGTTCATACAGATACGATAAAAGGAGCACTTTTAGCTGGAGGCTTTAGTCAGGGACACTTGAATTTGGTGGTGGAAGTATTCTCGCTGACTTCAGTCTTAACAAAAGCAACATTTGACCCTCAAATTTCAGTAGCTGTTTTTCAAGTCAAGGTTTGATTTGAGAATATTTGAGTGACATTAAAAAAAAATAATTAAATTACCAAATCTGCTATGACCTTGTCTTCTTAAGTATATTCCAAACAAGCTGGCAAAAGCAGATAAATTCACAGTGAAATTAATTGCTGCTCTTTCTTTGTACGAGTTCCACTAATGACTGGGCAGCCATACCTCACCATAGGCACGCAAAATCCTTGCTGTGCTAATTCCCTGGGAACTTGCCTGACTGTGGTTTTCTTCCCTGAGTCCTAATTTACCAGCAGAAAGCAAAGGAGCAAAACTAAGGTTTGATGTGGCCAACTGTCTGAAAAAACAGTGGCAGCGGTTTTCAGTCACACTGAAGCAGCAATCTAGTACCCAGCTCTCTTCATCATCGGGTACTGGGAATAAAGACAGATGTGTGGGGAAAATGTCAATTCGAATTGGCATGTCAATTTGAGGGTGCTGGGTTTTGATATTTTCCTGGATCACAAGTGACACTGACATTTTGGGAGGAGGATGTTGAGAAGAGTAGCACGTGGTTCTGGGGATGGCAACCTGGTCTAGTGAAGGGTGTCCCTGCCCATGGCAGGGGCATTGGAACTAGATGATCTTTAATGTCCCTTCTGACCCAAACCATTCTATGGCTCTATGAGGGAAGGATGAAGCAGGGGATGCAGCTGAGGATGGGGTTGCCCCTGAGCTGGATACAGAGGAAGGGACAGGAAAGCTTGGGAAGCAGAAAGGTGCGGAGTGTGCTGAAGAACAGTAAAACCAGAATGACTAAGCTAGGAAGGGTGATGCCACGAGATGATGCTGTGGTCAGTTTTACGGATCTGAGCTGAAATGTGTCTATGTCACAAGCAAAATGGCCTCTGTCATGGGGCAGTGATCATTTTTAAATATGTGAACTTCAACTTTGTTTTTTTTCCTGCATGTGATTTTTACATGACCCACTCTGAAATGCCATATTTGTTTATTTTTTAAAACCCCGGCTGATGTTCCTCACACCACTGTTTTTGCTCCCTTCCTCCAATTAAAGTATATCATGGAAAAGTGCTGTGAAAACAGAACTTTTTCACTGAATGTAGTGATATTGACAAGTTCGTGTCATGACAACACTGGTGAAGCAGTCTTCTTATTTTCTCACAGGAGTTAGCATTCTGCATATCACTTTTGGCATTTCTTATCATACTACACCATCTTTGGAATCTGATTCAATACTTGATTTGTACTTTCATGGGTAGGAAATATTTCATTTTACCATTAACTAACAGTTCAAATAGTGTCTCTAGTGATGTTTCTACATGGTTTTAAAGGATTTTTTCCCTTTCTTCCCATCCAAAACCATCGTGCTAGTTCACAATACAAGCTGCCTAAAACATTTCTTCCTTGCACCTTCGAAACGCCACCCTTGAGCTTACTCCTGCATGGTTAAACATTGCATCTCCCTGGTTCAAAATGTAAAGAGACATTTACTCCCTCAAATATATGGGCTTATATTTCAGTTGCTGTTCAGATAACCAGCAAGATGGAGAACCTGTGGGTTGACAGGAGATGTGAAGAACCCCAAGCTTGTTCAGTCCAACAAATGGGGGAGGAAGATCTGGAGAGTAATGGTTGTCATCAGAGGGGTAAACATCAGGAAGAAAAATCCACTGAATAATCCTGTTGCCAGTACTCCCATCACAAGCAAACCACCGGTGCTCCCTTGGGGGTGTCCCATGGGGCCCTCCAAGGAGCAGGGCCCCAGCCATCTCCCCAGGGGAGCACCACCATGGAGAGTCCCCTCACACATCAGCCCATGCAGCACACCCCACATGTTGGAGACTCCTCTTCAGGTCCTTTTTACACCAAAAGGCATCCAAAGCCATCTCTCCCACATTCCAGTGAGCGTGGAGTACCAAACACGACCCTGAAATGCATCCCCAGGTAGCTGGGGGGGATCCCAACCCTTTAGACACCAAGACTGTGTGTGTGCTTTTAAATACCCATGCTTAAAAAATGTTTTTTGGTAGGCAAAGGCTTTTTTTCCTTAGGCCACACTAATTAAAAGCTGAAATATCTACAAGATCAAGGACTAAGAACTTCATTACCCAGTGAAGTTGTCCTGAATGCAGATACTGTAAATTAAAACTTAACTATTCCATAACATCTCTTCTGGAGTAGTTCCTTTTTGGTAGACACTGTCCATGATTTAGTTCTTCCAGCTCTGAATTCACACCCCTTTTAGGTAAGACGTGTATATTCAATTTCCAAAGCGATATGGCTGATCTGCAAAGAATTCTGTGTTACCACTGGGATGTTTAATCTTATTTACTGAAGACCAAAGACCTCTGACACTAAACTACTGTAGTTACTTTTGGGTTTTGCTCTAATAACAGAAGAATTCAATTTTGGCCTATTCTTCAGGACAAAAATGCTTGGTTTTCCCTGCTCACTTTCTGTATTGCACTCTAAGCACCGTACAACATGACATGGTGCCTCTATAAAAAATGACAAATTATTATTCAGCTTTTATGTGCAAAAATTCCAGCACTATGACTGAAGTATATCTCTCCATTAAAAAAGGGAGAGGGGAGAAGCTATCACCTATGCTTAAGCTGCATAAGTTATGCAAAAAGATACACTGTCTGGTGGTAATTTGAATTTGAAAAGCATCGGACACTGTGAATCTCAATTAAATTTATGGATCATAGTTTAATTTTCATTTATTTGTGTTTGGTTTTGAAAATTCATTGTATTATTACAAGAGGACATAGAGCTTGCTTATACTCCTGGGAAATCAGGCATGCGAATAGCATTACGCTCTTTTTTCCCTCTCTTTCTTTTTTAATTCAAAATACCTTTTGAAATTAAAAATAGACAAATGCAGAAAGCTCTCATTTCTACCATTTGAGATCTCTTTCTATGTGGTCTCTAGTGACAGCTTTATGATTTATTTAATCATGAAATAGAAAGTAGGTGAGAGAGAAAGACGTTTTGGTCTCAGACTCTATTAGCATAAAAATTATTTTATTCTCCATGTGTAGTGAGGTGGCTCTTTAGACAGTTTATGTGTCTTTATCTTTCATGTGAGATATCAGGTCACTGCCCTTTTTTCTTTTTGTGTGATAAGCCCCTGAAAGCCAAATAACAAAATTACTTGAAATAACACTAATAATAATTTATAATAATAATATAAATCTGCATGATCGTCATCATAAAAGCAGCATATAATTTATTTTCAGGCTATTTTAATAGAATGCACTGATAGGGATTTCCTTGTTTCTCATCAGCAGAAAGAGGTCAGTTCCACCTATTAATTCCCCAAATTTATTTTATTTAAGGGCCACTGCCCTCTAAGAAATTATATCGATGCATCAAGAAGTTTCCTCCAGAGTGCAGGAGAGTGTATCGGCAGGGGGGGAGCAACCAAATACAGCAACAGGAGATGCAGCCCATAAGTGTACAGATTTCTTGTTCTAAGAAGGGATGGAAGGAGATGATTCAGCATGAACAAAATAGATAACTCCGCAGTAGAGAGCCGCATCCCGCTTCAGGGAGTGCCTAAGTCAGAAGTATAGTCACTGCGGGCTGCTTCTGCATCTGACGGAGGACAAGAGGCATCTTCAGTGAGAGACAGTTCACCAGCTGCTGCTGGTTCTCACTTGGCACATCTTCACATCTGCCTGTTGTGAGTAAGGTGACATCACTCTTAACCTGGGTGCCTCTGTTCAAC